TGAGAATTGTTTTCAACATAGTTGTACCTGTCCTGTTAGTAGGATATGAGTGTTCATGTTGCTCTGAATTTTCACCAGCATCTGGTATCAATAGCCTCTTTAATTTTAGCCCTTCTGGTGGGTGTATTTCCCTGATTTCAAATAAGATTGAGTACTTTTCCACAAATTTTTTGGCTGTTCGTATATCCTTTGTTGTGAGGCTTCTTCTTTCCCCATCTTTTTATTATTACTATAATTATTATTATTATATTCCTAATATATTCCTAATTTATACGAGTTACATAGTTTATGAATATGAGCCCTTTTCTTTTTTCCTTTTGGAGTTTCTGTCCTTTTTAAGAGTTTTTTTTTAATTTAAAAATTTTATTAATGTTTATTTTTGAGAGAAAGAGAGAGCAAGCACAAGTGGAAGAGGGACAGAGAGAGAGGGAGACACAGAATTTGAAGCAGGCTCTAGGCTCTGAGCTGTCAGCACAGAGCGTGACGTGGGGCCTGAACTCAGCGAACTGTGAGATCATGGCCTGAGCCAAAGTCAGACACATAACCAACTGAGCCACCTAGGCACACCCCTGTTTTCATATGTGGTAGATATAAGACCTTCATTTAGTTAGGTTTGTTAGAAAAATATATACCCACTTTGGCTTGATCTTTACCCTACTGTTAATATCTTTTGATGAAAGGAAGGTCTAAATTTTAATGTAGTTCAGTTTATCATTGTTTTCCTTTATAGTCAATGTTTCTTGCGTTCTGTTTAAGAAATCTTTCCCTGCTGCAAGGAGGTGAAGACATCTCTTATGTTACCTTCTAGAACAGTGGTTCTTAACTAAGGCAATTCTCCCTTCCCTCACCCCACACCTTCCCTACCTGTGCAGGAAATTTGGTAACGTTCACATTTTTAGTTTTCACAGCTAGGTGACTGGGGTATTCCTGGTGTCTAGTGGGTTGGCTAGGGATGCTTGCTAAACATCTTACAGTGCGCAGAATGCTAAACGTCCAGCAATGCACAAAACAGTTACCTAGCCCAGAGTGTCACTAGTGCTGAGGTTGTTAAGACACTGTGCTAGAGACTTTATTACCTAAAACTGATTCTGTATACACTTGACCCTTGAACAACATGGGAGTTTGGGGCACTGACCCCTGCATTGTCGAAAATTGCTATATAACTTTTGACTCCCAAAAAACTTAGCTACTAATAGCCTACTGTTGATTGGAAGCCTTAATAAAATAAGATAGTCAATTAACATACATTTTATATATGTATTATATACTGCATTCTTATATTAAAAGTTAGCTAGAGAAAAGAAAATGTTAATAAGAAAATCATAAGAAAAATACATTCATAGTACCGTAGTATATTTACTGAAAAAAATCCATGTAATGAGTGGACCTCTTTGCCATTCAAACCCATGTTGTTCAGGGGCCAACTAAATGTAAAGTATAGAGGTCACTTTTTTTTTTTCTTAGGGGTACGCATTTTATGAGGCACCATTTATTGAAAAGATTGTCTTGCCTCTGCTCTACAGGATCACCTTTGTCATAAATCAGGTGACCATATATACATGGGTCTGCTTTGGGGCTCTATTTTATTTTGTTGGTTTACTGTATCTACCCTTACACCAAAATCATGCTGCTTTAATTTATGTGGCATTATAGCAAGTCTTTGTATTTAGTAAGACAGATCTTTCCACCTTGTTCTTCTTGACTCTTTGCGCTTCCATATAAATTTTTGTAGTCACGTGGTCAGTTTTACAAAAATTGAATTTATTCATTAATTTGAGATAGAGTTGACATCTTTATGGTAATGTCTTCCAGTCCATGAATGTCATATTATCCTTTCATTTATTTAGGTCAGGAGTCTCAAATTCTGCATTCTCAAGACCCATTTATACTCTTTTTTTTTTAAATTTTTTTTAACGTTTATTTATTTTTGAGACAGAGAGAGACAGAGCATGAACGGGGGACAGGCAGAGAGAGAGGGAGACACAGAATCGGAAGCAGGCTCCAGGCTCTGAGCCATCAGCCCAGAGCCCGACGTGGGGCTCGAACTCACGGACCGCGAGATTGTGACCTGGCTGAAGTCGGACGCTTAGCCGACTGAGCCACCCAGGCGCCCCCCATTTAAACTCTTAAAAAGAACTTTATTTGGTTATATCAGTGTTTCTCAGCCTTAGCACAGTTGACACTTTGGGTCAGATAATTTATTGTTTGGAGGAAGAGTTTCCCATTAAATGCCATTATAAATAACATAATTTTGTGAAGAGCATACTTTCCAAAACAAAACTTAGTGGGAAGAGTAGCATTGTTTTTACATTTTTGTACATTTCTTTAATATCTCACTTAATAGAAAACAGCTGGATTCTTACACGTGCTTCTGCTTTAATCTGTTGGAATAGCACGAGTCCTGTAGACTCTGGACAACTCCATTTTACAATTTTGAGAGAATGGGAGTGAAAAAGGCAGATAAGGTCTTCGTGTTATTATGAAAATAATTGTGATTTTAAAGATCCCCTAATAAGGTCCCAGGGATCCCTACAGGCCTGTAGATTGCACTTTTGGGAACAGCTGCCCTAGGGTTTTCAACATGCACTGTTGACCTGTAAGTCTAATTAAGTTATTTTATATTTTTTAGACAATACAAGGAAACTAAAACATTAAAGATTCCATTAACTTCCTCCCCTTCTTAGTTTATTTCCTAGAATACGTATTTTTGACTGCATATGTGTTTTAAGCCCCATAAAAAATCATCATTGTTTTATGCCATTATTTTAGATTTACCCACATAGTAACCATTTTTGTTGCTTTTTATTCTTTCCTGCATCTTCAGTTCTCCCATCTATAATCACTTCCTTTTTTTGAAGAACACTTGTACTGAGAAATTGTCAGTTTTTGTTGTCTTGTCATGTTCTGTATTTCACCTTCACTTTTGAATGATAGTTTTTTTACTAGTTAGAATTCAGGGTAGGCAGTTGTTTTCTTCTAACTACAATATTATCCCTTTGTGTTTGGGCTTCTTTTATTTCTGTTGAGAAATTGGTTGTTATTCCTGTCAATGCCTTCCAGCCAAAAAGACCAGTAAGAACACAGTTTTTTATACTTGTTGCAGTGAAGGATTCTACACGTATTTATAGGAAACCTTTGGGTATTTTTTTAAGAGGGTATTAGAAAGAACCTGTTATAGGATTTGGACTTTGGTTGGGTAATTTTAGAGAGAGTCTAAGGAAGTAGAGGTTTGCTGTGAATTGATTGTTGTCAGAACATGGGAACATTTTAATATTGCTATCTTTTTTTAAATTCAGGTGAAATTTATGTAGCACACAATCATTTTAAATGCACAGTTCAATGGTATTATATTCATAATATTACACAACCTCCAGCTCTCTTGTTTCAGAACTTTTTCAGTATCCTGTAGCTATTATGTAATATTTCCTATTTTCTCCTTCCACTGTCACCTGATACTCTTTACTTACTATCTGTATCAGTTTGCCTATTCTGGATATTTCATATGAAAGGAATCATGCAATACATGACCTTCATGTCTGACTTCTTTTACTGAGCATAATGTTTTCAAGGTTCATCCAAGTTGTAGCATGTACTTTGTTTCTTTTTTGCTATTATGAATAATGATGCCATGTACCAGTTTCTGTGTATACATAAGTTTTCATTTTTCCTGTGTATATATCTAGAAGTTGAGTAGCTGGGTTGATTGGTCATTCTCTGTTACCTATTTTTAGGAAACACCAAACTGGTTTTCCATAGTGGATGCACCATTTTACAGTCTTACCACAATTGATAAGGGTCTCTATTTTTCCATATTCTCATCAACACTTGTTATTTTTCATGTTTTTCTTTTTTTAATTAAAAATATCTTAATGAGGGTGCCTGGTGACTCAGTCAGTTAACCATCTGACTCTTAATCTCGTCTCAGTTCTTAATCTCAGGGTCATGAGTTCAAGCCCCATGTTGGGCTCCATACTGGGTGTGAAGCCTACTTTAAAAAAAAAAAAATCCTAATGGGTGTGAAGTGGTATCTGTTCGTGGTTTGCATATGTATTTTCTTAATGACCAAGATGTTGAACATCTTCTCACAGATTTGTTGGCCCTTTGTATATCTTTTGAGAACTGTCTGTTCACATCGTTTGTCCATTGTCTTATGCTTCTTACTTTTCTTACTCTTGCTTATATTCTTTCCTTTCCACTCAAAGAGTCCCCTTTAACATTTTTTGTAAGGCTGGTGTAGTGGTTATAAATTGCTTTAACTTTTGCGTGTCAGGGAACTTTTGCATAACTCTCCTTCTGTTGTGAATGATGGATTGCTGGATAGAGTATTCTTGGTTGCAGAGTTTTTTTCTTTCAGCATTTTGAATAGATCCTGCCTCTCCCTTCTGGTCTGCAAAATTTGTGCTGAAGAATCCACTGATAGCTTTTTGGGGGTTTCCCTTGTATGTAACTGTTTTCTTTTCTCTTGCTTCTTTTAAAATTCTCTCTTTATCACTCTGCCATTTTAATTACTATGCTTTTTCTTGGTACGGACCTCCTTGGGTTGATTTTGTTGGGGACTCTGTGCTTCCTGGATCTGTATTTCTGTATCCTTCCCTAGATTCATGAAGCTTTATTATTTCTTCATATAAATTTTCTGCCTCCTTTTCTCTGTGTCCTTCTGGGATCCCTATAATATGAATGTTATTACACTGGGTGTTGTGGAGTTCCCTTAATCTCGTCACATTTTTCCACTTGATTGCTTTCCCTTACTCGCTTCTCCAGATTGCTGATCTATTCTGCTTTTTTTAGTCTATTTATTCCCTCTAGGGTATTTTGAATTTCAGCTAATAGAGTTAGTCATCTCTGATTGTTCTTTATGTTTTCTGTTTGTTGAAGCTTTCACTGAGGCCTTCCACTCTTTTCTCAAGTCCAGTGACTGTCTTTATGACCATTACTTTAAATTCTCTTTTGTTTATCTCTCTTGCTGGGATTTTGTCCTGTTTTTTTCATTTGGGTCATAGTCCTCTGTCTTCTCATTTTGCCTAACTTCTGTATATGTTTCTGTGTGTTAGGAAAGTGATCTATATCTTCTGCTGTTAAAAGTAGTGGCATTATGAAGAAGAGGTCTTGTGTCCTGCAGTGCAGTGTCCCCACTTCACCAGAAGCTGACACTTGAGGAATGTCTCCTGTGTGTGTTGCTTGCATCCTACTGTGGCTGAGCCACGTTTGCCTTCAGTCCAGTCATCTGCAATATTGCTCTTTGCCTGTTTTGGGCAGGGTTTGGTCCCTGTGGTGTTAGTGGGCCAGTCTCGGCCACCTTGCACTTGAGTTGAGTCCGACCAGGTGTTTGCCAGAGCTGTGGTAGCACCAATCTGCAGGGTTTCCCTGTGTTGCCCCTGAGAAGCTTTCATTGGTGGGAGGAGCCTACAGTCAGACCAGATGTCTGCTGGCAGCCCATGCTGGGGCCACAGACAGACTGGTATGTGTGGTTTATCTTCCCCTCTCCCTGGGGCATGAGTCATTTTAGAGTGGTGCTTGTCCCTGGCGAGGCTGCTTGCACACTGCCACCCTTGTGGTATTGCTTTGGATGGACTCCTCAGGTCTGCAGGAGAGCGTGGGGACAGGGGTGCCAGCCAGGTCCATGCCAGTCTACTGCAGGAGAGAACTTAACAGCTGCCAAGGAAAACACTTGTCCAGGCTGGGATGGAGGGGCCGAGTCTAGAGAAGAATGCAGGGGTAAGGCACCCTGTTAGCAAGCTTAGGTTGAGAGTATTTGTGCTACGCTGGTTCCCACAGGTTTACTTTCCAGGCTGGGAGTCAGGGGAGGGAAGAGGGAAATGGTGCCTGCCAGCTCTTTTGTTGCTGGAGAAGTCTCCCAAAGATCCCTGCTCCTCCAACACATTCTTTGAGATTAGTAAACAAATCTCTTTCCTGTATGCCCTAGGCATTTTTCAAACTGCTGGTTCTATGTTGTATCTCATCAGGACTGTTTGTTGTGCTATCTCTTTTAGGGAAGGGACTCAGTTCCCTTTTGTCCTCCAGCTCTGTCAGCACCAAGCCTGCTGAGTTTTAAAGTTCCAGTCCTTCTGGGGCGCCTGGGTGGCGCAGTCGGTTAAGCGTCCGACTTCAGCCAGGTCACGATCTCGCGGTCCGTGAGTTCGAGCCCCGCGTCGGGCTCTGGGCTGATGGCTCAGAGCCTGGAGCCTGTTTCCGATTCTGTGTCTCCCTCTCTCTCTCTGCCCCTCCCCTGTTCATGCTCTGTCTCTCTCTGTCCCAAAAATAAATAAACGTTGAAAAAAAATTTAAAAAAAAAAAAGTTCCAGTCCTTCTGGTTTTCAAAGCCAAATGTTACAGGGATTCATCTTTCCAGTACAAGTCCCCCAATGTCTGGAGTGCTTGGCATAGGGTCTTTTCCTCATGCCTGCAACATCCCTCCCATGCATGGATCCCTCAGATTGGTCAATTTGGCTCCCAATTGTGTCTCCACCCTACCTACCCTCTTCTCTATATTTAGCTGTAGAGAGTCTGTTCTGCTAGTCTTCGGATAATTTTTTGGGTTATCTACACTGATGTGGGTGTTATCTAGTTGTATGCATTGGACACAGTGACCCTAGGATCCTCCTCCTTTGCCATCTTAACACCTTAGTTCTTGGCTGAGCCTTTGTCCATTTTTAAAACTGGGTTGTCTTTTTGTTGTCCGGTTGTTTATATATTCTGTATTCTAAACCCTTATTAAATATATCTCAATGATGTCCTTTGATGGACAAAACTTTTATTTTAATGAGTCCAGATTATCTATTTTTTCTTTTGTTCATCATGCTTTTGGTGTGAAATCTAAGAATTTATTGCCAAATCCAACATCATGAAGATCCATCCCTAGGCCTTCTTCAAAGAGCTTTATTGTTTTCAGCTGTTATATATATAGTGTTGATCGATTTTGATTTAGTTTTTGTATTTGTATGTGATATGAGGCAGGGATCCAACTTCATTATTTTGCATGTGATTGTCCATTTGTCCCAGCACCATTTGTTGAAAAGACTGTTCTTTCCCCATTGAATGGTGTTGGCACGTTTGTTGAAAATCGGTTGGCCACAGCTGTTTGGGTTTATTTCTGGATTCTCAAATCTATTCCATTGGTCTCTATGTCTACCCTAATGCCAGTACCACACTGGTTACTATAGCTTTGTAATAAGTTTTTAAATCAGAGGGAGTACCCCTACTTTATTTCTTTTCAATATTGCCTTTGCTTTTCAGAAACCTTTGCAGTTCCATATGAATTTGAGTATCAGCTTATCCATTTCTGAAAGAAAAAAAAGGCCATTAGAATTTTCATAGTGATTGTACTGAATCTGTAGATCACTTTGGGAAGTTTTGTCATTTTAACAATATTTCATCTTCAAATCCATGAACATGGGATGTCTTTTCATTTATTTATACCTCCTTTAATTTCTTTCACCATTGTTTTGTCGTTTTAAGTATATAAGCCTTTTACCTCCATAGTTACATTTATTCTTAGGTATTTTATTTTGGATGCTTTTGTAGACAGGATTTTAGTTTCTTTTGAGATCATTCATCAGATCATTCATTGATGGCTTAGAGAAACACAACGGATTTTTGTGTGTTGATCTTACAACTGCAAATTTGCTTGATTTTGTTTATATTATCTCTAGTAGGGTTTTTTTGTGTGTGTATGTGGAGTCTGTGGTATTTTCCAAATATATAAAATCATGTCATCTGTAAATAGAGATAGTTTTATTTCTCCCTTTCCAATTTGGATGCTTTTTATTTATTTTTCATGTATAATTGCTGTGGCTGGGACTTCCAGTACAGTGTTAAATAGCAGTGGTGAAAACAGGCAGTCTTTTACTTGGAGTGAAGGCTTGGTTTTCACCTTTGATGACTGTGATGTTAACTCTGGGTTTTTCATGGATGCCTTTTATTATTTAGGGAAACTCCTTTCTTTTCCTAGTTTGCTGAGTGATTTTGTCATGAAACAGTGTTGGATTTTAGTAAGCGGTCTGTGTCTGTTGAAATATTCATGTATTTTTTTTTCCTTTCACCTGTTAATATGATGTATTACATTGGTTGCTTTTCTTATATTGAACTGTCTTTGCATTCCTGGGATAAATCCCACTTGGTTATAATATATAATCCCTTTAATGTGCCTTTGGATTCAGTTTGGTAGCATTTTGTTGAAATTTTTACATCTGTATTCTTTGTCTGGTTTTGATTTTAGGGTAATGCTGACTTATAAAATGTGTTAAAAAGTGTTTCCTCTTCCACGGGGCACCTAGGTGGCTCAGTCAGTTGAGTGACTTTAGCTCTGGTCACGATCTCATGGTTCTATGAGTTCGAGCCCCACACTGGACTGTCTGCTGTCAATGCAGAGCCCACTTCAGATTCTTTGTCTCCCACTTTGCCCCTCCCAGCTCACATTCTGTCTGTCTCAAAAAATAAATAAACATTAAAGAAAAAAAAAAAAAGTGTCTCCTCTTCCACATTTGGAAGTTTGTGAAGGATTTGTGTTCATTCTCCACATGGTAGAATTTATTAGTGAAACCATCTGATCCTGGACTTTTCCTTTTTGAGAGGTTTTTGATTACTGATTCAGTTTCTTTACCTGTTAGAGGTATGTTCAGATTTTCTATTTATTTTTGAGTCAGGTTTGTGTTTCTAGGAATTTGTCCATTTCATCTAGATTATCTGATTTGTTGATATCTAGTTGTTCATGGTATTCTCTTAAAATCCTTTTAATTTCTCTAAGGTCTGTATTAATGTCCTTACCTTTGTTTCTGATTGTAATTATTTGCATCGTCTCTTTTTTTCTTCTTAGTCAACTTGTTAATTTTGTTGATCTTTTAAAAGAATCAACTTTTTATTTGTTTTATTCTATTTTTATATTTGCTTATCTGTGCTCTAATACTTATTCCTTCCTTCTGCTGGCTTTGGGTTTAGTTTGCTCTTCATTTTTCTAGTTCCTTAAGGTGTAAAATTAGGTTATTGATTTGCTGTCCTTTTTAATGTAAGCATTTATAGCTATAAATTTCCTTCTCAGTATGCTTTTGCTGCATTCCATGTTTTTGTATGTTGTGTTTTGTTTTCATTCATCTCAGGATTGCCATCTTAATAAATTAATTATTAACTAATTAATAGGGAAGGCACATTGAAGCTGGGATAAACTTATAATTGGTAAAGAATTGATAATAGCAGTCAATTCATTTAGTGGCAGAAGGTCATATTTGATTACTTTGTGTTACACAGTAACCTTGTCTGAAGTGATTATTCTGAGATATTTTTATGTTCAACAAGAGAACAGTATGATTTAGCTGAAAGCATCAGAGTAGTTCTTGGACTTCAGGAGCTAGCTGCTTTTTTTTTCCCCCCCAGTCTAATTATTGTCTTTTTGTATCCTTTTTGCTGCTGCAACTTTTAAGATTTTCTCATTGTTTTGCATTGTCATCACTTTTACTGTGATGTATCTAAGTGTATTTTTCTTTTTATCATATCCATCTTAAGAGTTCCTGGTGCTTCCAGAAACTGTGGTTCGATGTTTTTTGTCAGTTTTAGAAAATTCTCAGCCATTATCTCTTCTAGTATTGTTTCTGTCCTGTTTTCTCTCTCCTTTACTTCTGGGATTCCCATTAAATACATGCTAGATCTTTTTCCTGGGTCCTCTTTTGGCTCTGTTCTTTCCTCCATTTTCTATCCTTTTGTATCTCCTTTCTTCATTCTTTCTTTGTTCTGACCCTTTCCAGTTCACTCTTTGTTTTGTTTTTGTAGATACTCTTTTTCTCCCAGTTTTACTGAGATATAATTGACATTTTAACTCTTTAATTGTATCTAATTTTTAGTTTTATTGCATGGTGACCAGAGAATATGGTCTACATGATTTCTGTCTCTGTTGGAAATTTCTCCATCATCATTATAATATATAGTCAGACTTTATATAATGTTCCACTTACATTATAAAATAAGAATGTCTATTTCTTGTTGTATAGGGCTATTTGATCATTGTCTTTACAGACATTTATCTTTTGTATCTCCTAAGAGAATTTTGGAAAACTGGCATTTTTAAGTTGGCATTTGGATTTTTTGTCATGAGTGAAAATAATTATCAGCATTTATACGTGTGTACATGCTGTAAATCTAATTTCTTCAAAACCTTTGTACTGTTGATTTAATTCATTAGCTTACAGAAAATGTTGGCCATATAACAATTTAACGAAGCCAAGTCTTCATAGCTAAATCAAAGTGTCAGTAACAAGGTGGCTTTACTTTTTTAGATTTAACTATCAGACCTGCCACTGTTGACAACCTTTTCATTTCTGAATTTTAATTCTAAAACTGAGAAATGGAATGAGAGGGGTATGAGAGAAAGGAAAGTAGGTATAGAGAGGTTGAAGGCATAGTGAGAGAGACAAGACACTGGAATCTTGAGTTGTTTTTCAATGAACTAAGACTATGTAGCCTTTCTATATTGTTTGCTTTGCTGCCATAGCAAGGAAATTTGTATTTCCCAAACTTCCTTTTATTTGGTTGCCAGAGGCTTTTACACAGAGTATTACCAGAGCAGTGTACAATACCAAGGTTCTGGATGATGGCATTCTTCTAGACCTTTGAGAGATTCAGTTAATAAATACAATGATCTATGCCCTTGTGACTTAGTTCTACAGGAGGGATACACAAACGATAACCATAATAAATAAATATATTACACAGTATGTTAGAAGGTGTAAGTGTTTTGGAGTAAAAAGGGGTGAACCAGTGTAAGTTTACTTGAGAGTGCCAGCAGAATAGTGAAAGTGAGGGAGTTTGGGATGTAATCTTAATCAAAGTGGTCCAGGTAGGCATTATTCAAAAGAAAATGGTTGATCAAAGGCTTGAGTTAGGGAATTTGTCATGAGTATCTGGGAGACAGAGTATTCTAGCTAGGTGGTTAATAATACTAAGACCTTAGCATGGGAGAGAATGTGTTCAGGAAATAGTAAGGAAGCCAACGTGACTAGAACTGAGTGAATTGGGGAGGGGAGTAAGAAATGAGGTCAAAATGTTGCTGAAAAGGATCTTCGTAGGGC